ACAAACAAAAGAGGAACATTGAATAGGGGGTCCCCAGTTGCAGGCAAATACACACTTGTTTGGGTGGGTGTGTGTGTGTCAAGCAAGACTCCTCGTGGCGAGGGGTCTTGCTTGACATTTCATGTATATGTAATATCAATTAGAAATCTCCCGTCTTTTCCTTAACCCTTTCAGCACTAGCCCCTCTCTGTGCTACCCCCCTTAACTTAATACCCATTATTGGGCCAACCCACAGAGATGAATTATCAGCTGAATGCCACAACCTGATATGGTCCATGCTGGCATACTGCCCTCTACAGATTGTATGGGCATAACCTGACTTTACTGTGCAGTGAGTAATAAACCAATATTGACACAGTGGAGTAGTTACAACAAATTTCTAGAGATCAACTTAGTCACTTAGTCCGCCTTTAATGTTTTCACAAGTGAATTTCACAAAACGAATATTCTTATTAGTTAGCGCTAGCCGAAAAATTAAGTGTGCAACTCCAAAATGACAAAAGAGGTCTACGTGGATTGGAGAGAATGCCAAGTCCCCTCCTTCCCCCCAATGTTGGGAGAAACTCTGCACCGTGCTGGCTCGTTTCTACCACAGCTTTTTAAGGGGGGGGGGTAATTGGGAATTTTAGTCAACTAAAAACAGTTTAAAAAAACTAACAAAATAAATAGATAAATAAATAAAATAAAAACCAACACAAATCGGCAAACTTTTGACAGATTTAAGGAATCTTAGGAGTGAAATTTCAGCATCCAATGACACACATTGGTTGGGCACGTCTTATAAATCATGCAGATTTGCCGTCTCCGAGTACTGCAAACAACAAAGTGGCGCTTTTGCCTAGTTTTGCCTGGAATATGTTGTACATCTTCTCACATACAGGGGATACTCTTGTGCACATGACCGGCACCTCAACTCTTCCCATTGACAGCAGGCCTTGGATCAGATAGAGTTGAAAATCAAGATTTGACAGTCTAAAGTTGGTGTTAAGACTATTATACGCTCTTGCATTTTGAACTCATGTCTAGAAGAGCAAAGTTTTAATACTCGTTTCCGCCACTTCACCGAGACTGTTAGCATGTGCATAGTACACGCACTGTTGTGATGCAGCATCGGTTCCTCAGGCTCCCACATGCTTGTTGTACTCAGTGACAGTGTTTGGTTTGATGATGTCACGATAACCTGTGGGAGAGTTTGTACGCCGAATCTGCTTATTAGTTATACTACAGTTATCATAGTTAGTTTGTCAAGTGTGTCACGCTTTTTTGTTGTCCTGACTTTTCATAAAAGCAGTGTTTATCTCCTTTAGCCATAGGACAGTCTTGGGGGTTTGCAAAATGAGGAATTCCTTAAGTCTTGTATCAAACAGTTCCACAAAAGCTAAAGCCCAGCTGGGTTAACAGTAAGAGCAGGCCTGGTGTACCAATTATCAGCAAAGGTGCACTGTCCCTGATTTCCAAATCGATCGACAAGTTTCAAACAACTTGAACTGGTCGAGGTACTACAGTGGAATCAGCAACATTGTCTATCTTCGAGTCGACACTTGATGTTTGTGTTTGTGACCCTGTGTACACTGTCCAGGCCCATGTGAACTCCATTTCAGATTCGTTCAAGGAGAAACACTTGATTCCCCATTGGGTTGGCTTTCTTGGCATATACTGTTTGAATGATAGTCTTCCCTTGAATTTGATCATGGTCTCGTCAGTGGCAAGGTTTTGGCTGGGTCTGTAATTACAAAAAAACGAGGGTATTATTTTCTGAACAAATTGGCGGACTTTTGTCAGCTTGTCAGGAGTAGTGTCCGTATTTAAAGCTACTTGGTTGTTGGTCAGATGGATGAATTTGAGAATTGCCATAAATCTGTTGCGAGACGTGGTTGCCAGATAGATGGCACTGTGCACAGTGTCCAAGTTGCTCCAGTACATGTAGTGAGGCCGCTTGTTGATACCCGTACACACCCAGTAGTGCTACAAAGGCCATCATTTTAGACTGGAATAGTTGTTGGAGACCAACGACTTGGGTGGCCCGGTGATGACTTCTGTGTCATATTCTGCTCAGCATAGCGGTTGGTTTCAGTGACCAGTAGCTCCCACACCACTTGCGAGAAAAATAACTGGAAGATCTGCGCTGGCGTGAAGTCTGTTCATTCTTGAGAATGTGTTGCTCCAGTGAGTGTGGCCTGTGAGAGAAACAAGGAAAACCCATTAGGTTGCTAAGGAACATGTATGGCATTAGGGGTGTACCTACTGCTGCCTGACAATCCCCCGGATTATTCTGGCTGATCATTAGGATGCTTATTATACAAGAAACAGTAAAAAAAAAAAAAAAAGAATAAAAATTGTTTACATGTTTGTAAGAAGAGGAAATCGCCTTTAATTGTACTTGTTTGGACACCAGTCGCTGTACAGGCTGAAATTAAATGTGACTGGTCAACGCGGGACGAATGAGCTACAAGTCATGATTTCGATTTTGACAATGCTGGAGCATTAATTTTCATATTCTTAGTCAAAGCTTAATCCATGACAAAAACTTGCGTGATTGGAGGGGATTTCCCAAACTTTCCTTTTCTGCCAAATTTGAAGTTTATGAATATCTTCACCGCAAATCAATAATGCAACACTGTCAGAAGATGATGGCATGAATTGGAGTACGGAACAAAATGGAAATAGATTAATGTTTTGCAGGTACGCTTCTCCCATAGGGCTGCGCTATTTCTTGTCATCCAAACCCATAATGCTCTGCAAATGTCAAAAGGGTTAATTGCAGCAGTGGCCTATTCCGTGCTAGTCAGGTCTACTGATTATGATTAATACATGAGGTGTTTGGGTTTTTGTTTTTTTGTTTTGTTTTGTTTTTGGTTTTTTTTTTGGGGGGGGAAGTGGGTGGGGATAAATTCCTACCCCTCGGGATTGACATCCATGAATTGCCTCAGAAGCTAACTATGCATTGTTTCGAACACTGAGGTGTGAAATTGTGGAAATGAACGACATCTTCATTAGACAGCTGACCTGTAAGTTCGGGCGCTGTCTTCCCATGTTTCCGCCATGAAGGTCCGGTTTTGCTCCACCCACGCCGATAATCGGGCTTTGCTGCTGCCAAGAAATCATCTGGAGCGTCGTCCATACCTCTGGCATCTCTAGCATCGGAAAAAGACATGTTGGAGTCGCTATCGGCAAACAATTCTTGCAAAACGTCTTCGTTTTACATGTTTAGGCCGTGATTGCTCGTTTAGTAGCTGCATGGCGTACCCACGCCAAACTTATACCGCAGTAAAAGGATGCCCGCCTACCGTCGAGCAACCAATCAGGGTGTTCAAGTGAGGGCTTCCTTACTCATAAGACAACCTGCCGATAAGATTGTTCCTGAATGGCACGTCGGTAGCAAGGGGTTGCAATTTCTCGTTCTCATCTGGCACTGTGGTATGCAAAGGGGTTGTTTCATTTGTGCCTTTTTGCACGATGGTGCTGAAAGGGTTAAAGAAGTTTGAAACAGAAGCAAGAGACCGACTTTTCGGTCTTACCAGTAAATGGGCTCAAAATAGCCTTAACGTATATAAAACTCATCGTTTGGCTGCTTTTGGAGGGCTTTTGAATTAAGGTGGCCCCCTTCAACTAGACAAGTTTATAGGCTATGAAAAGGACTGCCATTTTTCTGGGCAATGTGGATGAAAATAGGCCCCAAAATAATTATGTGCTCAGTATCTTGTCCTGGAGTGGAGGCACCAATTTCGAAGGTCTTCCTTTATAGAGAAGAATATGAAATGTGCTGAAATAAATGTTCATGTTTCAAACACCTGTGAAAGTTGTATTTCTAATTATTGTTTGTTAAATGGTCTTGGCCATCGTTGTCAATACTTGCTGGCTGACGATCGCTTGGAGTTGTAGAATCAGTGCAGTGCCGCCACTCGCTCTTTGCAGAGAATTGCCATTTGACACAGAAGCGATACTCATATGCATGCGCACATTTGAATTACAATTTTGTCGTGTCATCACTCATGACAATGAAGGCTGCTTGGTTAGCAGAGGCCTAGTTATCCAACTCTAAATACTCACACCCATCTTTCGTCCAATTGGAAGTACATTGGCACAAGTCGATATGTTCATACAGTGGCGAAACCCGGGCTCCGTGTTGAAGACCGTGACGGTCTAAAAGAACTCGTCTGGACGACCAGCAGTCAAGATGGTCCTAGGGTGATTTTTTTTGTTTGGAGACTGTCGCCGCACATAACACTGTTTCCAAAACGGACGACGTACTTCATAAATAATAGGCGAGGGCACACCAATTCTTCTCCTGCATAAAACTCTTCTATTCCTTTTCAATTACACTTGGTTGACCTTAATTGATGATGTATTAGGGGTAAAGAGAAATTAAGGGAGGGGAGTTCGTTAAGGAAAATGGGTAACTCAAGGGAAGGGAGTTCCTTAAGGGGAGGGAATTCCTTAAGGGAAGAGGATTCCTTAGACGACCCTCGTTGGTTCTCCTGGAGGCAGATATTGGTCCTCCTTAGAGCTCGACCCTCCAGACCCGTGCCGGGCAGTTTTCAGTCCGCAGGATCTAAAGCGTAATTAGGCCTAATTGGACAGGGGTACAAGGGATGGGAATTCCTGAAGAGGATTGAATTCCCGCAGGGAAGGGAACAGGGAAGGGGGTTCCTGAGACGACCCTGTTTGGTTCTCCTGAAGGCAGATATCGATCTTCCTTAGAGCTCAACCCTCCAGACCAGTGAGGCCGTTGCCAGTCCTCGGGTTGAAGGAGTAGTGACTCAGAAAGGGGTTCAAGGGGAGGGAATACCTCAAGGGAAGGGGGTTCCTAAGAGCAGGGGATTCCAGTAAAACCTATACTCTGTTATCACATTTACCCAAAATGCAATTTGACTAAGAGAGGGTGCCAGACTTCGGGACGTTCTAGTCGGGGGATTCTATAAACAGACAAATATCTTTAAACTTAGAATTTCCGGAAAAATCGTGAATGAACAACAGCCAGCTTAAGTTGATACTCCGACACTAGGTCTTCGAATCGCAAATATTCTAAGACATTACGAATCTCATTACGAGTAAATAAAGATCTAAACTGTTCCATAAATTGTGGGACTAGCAAAACTTAACAAAAGTAACCAGCACTTAAATATATTCGTGGCCATTATAAACACAGCTAGTCACTCACAAGTCAATGGCTTCAACCTGCTAAAACCGGCCGTCAGTAGCTGTGTGGTCGCCGCAACCTGAACTCTCCGTCTGGTCTCGTGTCGACGTCTTCGGCCAACAGCTGCAGCAAGCTCTCCGCTCAACGCGCGTGGTTTGTATGCGAACTATGGAGTGCCAAAGATCCATTTCTTACCTTGCCTTGCTTAAATAAAAGTAAGCAGCCTATATCGAAATCATACCAACTACGTTTGCCATTCCACCCCCCCCCCCAAGAAATTAAAGAATTCCCCTTCTTTTGAATTTTTTTTTTTTCGTAGCTTACATAGAGCCTATTTAGGTTGTATAAGCAGCACCCGAGTCTATTTACAAGAACATTTTCACAACCAGACTAAATTGCAATCTGCAGTGGTCTCGGAAATCAGTTGAACAGTCAGAGGCCAGACCGTCTGTTTTGGCTCTTGAGCTGAGCCAACGAAGACATTGAAGGTGTCACAAGCTGCCATTGCGCATGCACTGCTACCGAGAACTTTACAGGAGCCAAGACGCTATAGTATACTACACAATCACTCGATAGAACATGAACAGGGTGTGCAAAATATCCACCCTGAAAAATTATGACTGAATTAAGTAGATTATCAATCATGTCGGCCTATTGCGTTCTTTGAAATATCCAAGTAAAGTAAACCTTGACGTCTTGAAATTAAGGCGCTGTAAAGAAATATCCCATTCAGACAAACTTACTTGTCATGTTTTCAAGCTCGGCAAGCTCACCGACGGACTCCTATAGTTGAGGTACGGTTTGACGTCATTCATCCCCACAGACACATCATCTACTTTGCCAGAAATAGCTGTGTCCAGCTGAATCAGACAGCGAGTCGTGTTCTGTAGTTCTGTAGTCGGCACTGGAGTTTGATGAAGGCCCAACCCCGGGCTGACGTTGATTTGCTACTGAGGTCCACCCTGGCAAATGGTTGGATCGTGGCTAACTGTGCCGACAATTTTCTGAACTGACGTCAGGTTGGACGATTATTGCTCTGGTAATAAAAGCAGAATCCACTGTTGTAGTAAGAAACATCTTGAAAAAAACCTAAGTTTGAAATTGTGGGCGCAGGGGGAATACAGACGGGTGCAAGTCGGGTACATTTGAGAAAAAAAAACACGAAGTATGAAATTGTGGTTACATCATGGGCAAGCAGTCCTCCAAAGGGCAGAACATGTCCAAGAATCAGAGAAGTCATAACAATCCAAAGGATGATAAACAATCATCAGGTGACAGTGGTGATATTAACCATGCCAAGACCAAATGCCCTGAGAAAGAATGTAAACCAGTCCAGGATAAAAGCAGGATTCAGCACCTTGAACTTAGCACTGGAGAGACCTTGAACCACGAAGTAAACACTGATGGCGAACATTGAAAATCGAAAGTGGAGTATCAGCAGCAGGGTTCAACAATTGGTAATCATTATAACAAAGTGTTGAAAACGTTCACTGACGGATCCCTCGTCAAGTCTGAAACAGCTGAGAGATTGGAAAAAGATGGAGAAATGTCAGCTGATGAAACGAAGCAAGATTTATCTAGAATCCCTGGAAGTGATTTTAAGGCAGCTGATGACGGAGGCCAATCTGATCTGCCAGAAGAAGAGCTGGACTATCCTGCTCTGATAGGGGATCAACAGGGGAAGATTCCGAAGAAAACGCAGAGGATTTGTCTCAATCACTGGATATGAGCCGTTCAAGGTAAGATTTCAGCATACTCGTACTTTGCCTTTTCCGGGCTTTTGAGTGAAAAGAAAGAGATTGAGGCTGAGCATGAGACCTGAAACATTTGCTTCCAGGGATGGAAAAGCTAATCAGTATTTTCAGATGTAAAAACAGAGTGTAGCAGTTTAACATTGAGGCTCTATGTCGGACAGGTTCCAACTTGTACAAGACATTTAGGCCTAGAAGACGAGGCATTCTTCTTATCTCTATGTACATGTAATACTTTAAATCATGTTTCTTTGTCGCACAGGTCACCAAGCAAAGAAAAGAATCTCCGGCATGGCCATAAAAGGAAACACAAAAAAACATCACAAGAAACGCAGGAGATTGTCACCACCTTCAGATATGCAAACTTTGACCTAGATAGTAGCCAATCAAATTACAGCAAAAGAACATGGTAATTATCCCAATAAAGCTACCTAAATTATGTTTCTTTGTGGATTTTTGTTTGTTTCTTTGTGATTCAATATTCATGAAAATATGACCTGTTTTAAAAGTTCCACAGTTCACAGTGCACAGTTCATTGAATGACACTGAAGGAGATGAAGAAAAAAAGGATAACAAGGGCAACTGGCAGTCAGCTTGTTTCTTAATGCAAATATCCAGACCTTTCTGAGGAAGTCTGCCGTGAATGGCAGGCCAAGTGTACATATTTATGCGCAAGACCATTCACAGAGACATACAATCCAGTTGAAAACAAATGGTTTTCGGCTGAAATATACAAAGCAAACAAAAAAACACCAAAACACCAAAAATCAACGAAACAAGAATGAAACGACTTCATGATAAATTGATTGTCTATCTACGATTAATGTAAAAGTAGTCTCAGTTGCTACAGTTCAGAATTCAGTTTGATATGTTCAGCTCGATATTCATCGTTGGCTTTTGTTCAATGTAAAGGTTTTAAATAAAGGAGCATGTACATTTTTTGTATCTTCACCAGTTACGGGTACAAATTGAAATACAGGTATTCCCCCAAATGTTTACGCTGTGCACCATGTTTCCGTACTGCGTTTTGGTTAAGCCATCTAACAATCACATTAAATTCACTGAATTGCTTCACGAGACAAGTTCGTTGCATTAATGTCCAAGAGCGAACGAGCATGATGACCTAAACAAGTTTTGTGTTGAGCAACGTTTTGTTTCGCAAGGAATTACTTGCATGTTAGCCTTACAGGTAAGTTGTGTTCAAACGACCCACCAGGCAAGCATTGGTTGAAAACATCCTGATCACAATTAGGCTATCTAGGGAAACCTTGTCCCCAGTAGTTACATGTACATGTACTTTATATCCAACATGGCTTCCAGCAGTGACTCTGGAAAGGAAACTTACCGGTACGGTATACAGATCCAGTGCAACTGTTTACGGCGAAGAAATGATTCATGGTGTTTTTTTTTCTTTCATGTTTTCAGTACATATACATGCACTTTGCCCTGTAAACATTCTCTTCTTTATCTTTTCATGTTTTCAGTACGTATACATGAACTTTGCCCTTTAAACTTTTTTTTTGTATTTTGGTACTGTGTTTATTAACAAAAGGTAAACTGCATATTGGTTGGATGGCATTTTAACCATTTATCTTAAAAAAAAAAAAAAATCGAGCTCCCCGATCGACATGACACACGGCGCAAAATTGGCTCAATTTTAATCAGTGTTGTAGTCGAGACCATCACAAGACCAGACACAAGACCATGAACAGGACCAGTCACAAGTTACAAGGTCTTTGTAGTTAAAACAAAGACATAGATTGTCACTAACATGTTTCAGGTCTAGCCTATTTGGATATTCCTCCTTTGTAAATCTAGGCAACCCTACGAACTAAAGTTTTAAAATCTTGAAACACGGTGCGTG